ATATTACAATATTTTCATGGCAAGTAGGCCAGGATCAAGATCACGAGGGCATCCATTTGATTACTGGGATTACTATAGATTATTTGACCTCACCGAATTTTTGCCGCAGTCTCATGCTTCGGATTGAAGTCATAGTCCTAGTAGCTTCGGGTCCAAGAGGTCCCGCGATCACCACTGAGCTTTGACATGGAGACTAGGGGCTGAGACCACGGAAACGACCTCTAAAGCTCGCAATATGCTGCACTTCTACTGCATATCACCGTCCACGTCATTCTCCCAATTAGCTGACCCACTTAACAAGCCATCTTGCTGCATATGAATCAAAAACGCGGGTAATGTGCAATCTGGTGTGCACAAGAAGGCCAAACAGAAACTGCTCTATTTATGCAAGTTGTGTTTTATATACTTGTTATTGGCATTTGGAGGAAAGGAAGCATGATTTGATGTCTGCGGGGCCAACTGCTCTCGCTGATGCAATCCACATTATGCAGGTGCAGCTGGCGATGCCGACAGCTTTTCCAGATTCGAAGTTTCGCTAAAGGCAATGACAGAATCAAAAGGGCGTCAATTCTGCTGCAATATGAAAATGCGGAACATGTTTCTAAGCTGCTGAACAACGGTTTTTGGTGTGAACTTGGGGAGGCAGGAAAAGCTGGGCAATCTTTTGCATGCTTGCGAAACTGGAATGCTTTAGGGAAACTTGAAAGTGTGGTAAGTGGCCGGGTACGCGCTTGGGATTTGTGCTACGAATATTGCGTATTTCCGAAAGAAGCTTTGTATTTGAGGTAGTTTTGCCTTTGCTACTTGCGGAAGGTCCAATATATAGAAAAGTGTAGCGTTTCAGTTTTTAGCGTCTGAGGAAGAGGTTTACTGAGTTTTGGTGGTTTTCAAGTTGTGTTGCTCGATGACAGTGTGCATCAAATTAGACTTGAGAGAACCGCCTCTCGAGCTTGCTTCGACAGCCTTGGTTGCGGGCAATACAGGCAGCTATTTGTATGCATCCCGTGTTTCGGCATTTTTGGGGCCTTTTTTGCACTTTATGGCTCTTCCTAATGAACAGAGCATGAGGTCCAGGGTAAGAGACTCTGAAGCTGAAACGTCAAGGAATTCATCTCCTACTATAGCAGAGCAGATGATCGCTGACTGCGATACATAATGGCCTCGAGGCGATGTATCTGACAGAACTGATCGTGCAGGAGCCCAACAATTGCATAAGTGGGAAAGAGTGCACTATCAATTCTGTTTAGAGTGAAGCCCATTAAACTACAAACTAGGATGCATCATGCAGGATACGATTTGAGGGCTCATGGTTGGATGACCTCCAGTGTAGGGAACAACAGTGCTTTGAAGGCAACAACGTCAGCGTGTTGACTTCTTGTGGGAGCCGGTGAGAAACTTAAGACAGTAAGAAACATTTCCTCAACTTCGCCTGGAGAAGGCGCAAAAAGAGGCTTTATCTGCGGAGGCATTTATTGGTCCCCGAACAGTAGCATCGACATAGCGGAGGTACTTGAGTATACCGGAGTGTTGGAAACCCCGTGTTCTGCATATAGACGGATTTGCTTGGTGAAAAACATATCTTACTAATGATAGAGAGACAGTTCTTTGTACACCCCAAGAGCCGCATTCTTCGCCATTGTGCAGTTCTCTGCCGGCTTCCATCCCACTATTGTTTTCGGTACTTCCGGGCAAATCATTGCTTATCCCACTTTTGGAAATGTGCAGAACTCAATCAAACGCTATTTTGCTTGTCAAAAGCGCTCTGGCAAAATAACAAGCCCTGAGTCGTATAGTTGACGCCCTTGAGCTGGCAGGTTTCCATACTCCTGGAGCGTTGAACCAAAACAATGGTCAGGGATGAAGCAACGTTGATAATACAGCGAAATATTTACAACAATATAATAGCATTCTTTAGGGGTAGGAAACCGGGATTAGTCGTTTGACGGCCCTTGACATAATTCGCTTGCGTGGGATGAACGCGAGCGTCTCTCGGTGTTATCGACTTCCAAGTCCCCTTTCCCTGCTCTATGCTTGTGATAGTTTTCTATTATAGAACATTGAAAGCAGTAAAAAGCCGCCTGGATCATTTTTTGTGGTCAAAGTCTTGGAATGCCAGCGATGGTATGCTCGGAGACTCCTTGGAGGGACTGGAGCCGCATTAAGTTTCAACGCCCGCAGTGCAAGCAGCTCGGATAACCATATATTGACGAAAGAAAGCTGAAAGAGAAAAGTAGGCAAGTCTGCAGCAGTAAGATCCTGCGGCAGGACATGTTTTCCAATTGTTGCTTGGCGATAACTTTTTCGGTCCAACCGGCCAAAAGGTGAGATATGCGAAGACACGAACGCTTCAGAAACTTCAGCGCATGTTGGAAATTTAGGCCTAAAAATAGTCTTATTTTGAAGTCATAACAGTTAAATTGTTTCATTTTTAGGGGGAATCGCCATTTCCTTGGCAAATAATGCTTTGCCCAGATGCCAGGCCTGTTTGTGCGATCACAGGACGAGGCAATGGGAGCAAAAATAAGGCACTCTAGCTCTCCTGAGGAGGAGCTGAATTTGATACTGAATACGTCTTCTCACGCCAATCCTGTTGAGCCGTGGGATTCACTGTGGAAACGGCAAAATAACCGCAAGCTAGGGAAGTGGTCTACCGTTTCATTGATCTTGACCTCTGTTGCCCTCCTTCTTCTCGTTCTGAAGTGCTCCACTTGGATACGAGCAAATTCATCAAGAAGCTTGAGAATTCTTGCGGAAGGAGGGGAAGATGAGGGCAAGGAAACTTCGCCTCTTCTCGAAGGTGTAGGGCGAGTTTAGAGTTTGCTTAAGATGTAAACACCAAGGCAGCCGTCTATCCCTTTCAGTTTTTCTCAAGTGTTGCCTATCAGCGTGTTTCGGTGGCACGTAGGGTCCTGATATATCTGGAGAGTGCGAGAACGGCGAAGCTAGTGCCTCTGGTACTCATCGGGAGCGAAGACGTTCAAGAAGGTGGAGTCATTTCCTTCGAATAGGATCAACTTCACGGCCAACTCAAGCTGAAACAAATGGTGAAGAGGGCGCCAGTTCCAGTACATCTCAGTCGCAGGCAGAAAGGCCAGAATGGACTGAACACCAGAGTAATATTACTCTTGGGGAGTCCACCGCTCATCAATACTATGACCTTGCGAATCCCTACTACTTCCCATTTATCGGAGTAACGCCAGTAAGTTGACAATGACACCTTGTTTGAGTTTCCCTCAGCTTCCTGAACATGTCAGTATACGCAGCATTTTTCCTTTCCTGCAAGTTACGTAGTTTCAAGCTCATTTCCGTTTGTCGTTCTACTTAAGTAACAGCGTTTGAATTGTTATCTAGTTTTTGCCCTATTTTTGCACTTAGGCCCACCAAAGTTTACGGAAAATGCTGGAGAAACTTGGTCAATATGCGGAAAAGCTCTGCTTCCCTCATCACCAAGCGCGTGACAGTGAGGCATCAGGCACCTAAATCTACCTTTGAAGCTAATAAATAGTCGCAGCACAGCACACGAATGCTTTTATGATCAGCCTCTCATCGTGTTTGACAGATTCTTGAGCAAATAATGTGCAACTTCGTGTCTGATATTGCATACTCTAGTGCATATACTTGTTTGAGCATCCCTGCAGAGGTATTCGATGCACTTTGCCCAAAGCTTGATGGCACCGGCGAAGTGCATCTGTTTGTTGAAATTCAGGAGATTGTAAGCCGCTCAATATTCATTCTGTCCACTAAATAGCTTCCCCACAATTACAGTAAAAAGTATAGTGTGAAGGGATGTGAAGGAGCTGCTGGCGCTTGAGCAGTTTGCAAGCGCGTGTGCACATGCGCGAGCTTGCACTCAGGAAAGTCACCATAGGAGTGCCTTTTCGCAGCTCAAGTCATTATTCTCAAAAATCGATTATACCCATCGCCATGTCGGGCAAGCATCCCCTTATCCCCTTGAAATTGTTGTGCCAGGAGAGTATCCGGGTTGACCCATATTTCACATGGTGTTGGCCTGCTAAGCCTTGTTTGCGAATGTGCAGTTTGGGCGCGATGTACAAGCTGTAGTTGAGGAAATGATCATTGTGGTTCTCACTGAAGTGGCCACAGCAGGCAGTAGGCGCCAAGTAGCTTTTTGGCGAAGGCTCGCTACACTCAAGTTGGCATTCTTTCTAGAGTTGAAACTTACAAGGTTGATGCTTCATGGGAACCAGACCTACGCGGATGTCACTGCGTGCGCATTTGTTGTGTACCCATGTGTGTGCAGTTCCGCCGGGGGGAACAACCCCTTTGGCGATCGTCCTTGAGAAGCCACCTGACGTGCCCTGCACAGGCCGTGTCTTGATTAAGGTCCACGGTAAGCTCCGCCTGAACAGCCCGCCTGCACAGCCTTCAACTCGAAATGCCCTCGCCTGCCGTTTATTGTTAACTTAGGTGCACCCGGCAACACGGGGTATCGACTTAACCTTTGGCTTTCCTGAAGACTCTCTCTGTTGCAGCTAATCCATTTGCAGGAGACTCAGGTACAGACTTCTTCCCTCTGTTTGCTTTTGCTCAGCCAAAAGATGGGAAAGCTCTTCTTGAAAATGAGGTGAGTGGTAATATTGCCAGAAGCATGCCGGAGTCATCTGCGGCCTTTTTTATTGTGTGTCGAGCTCAGTGCGCTGAGGCTCGCAGGGCCTGGCATATCATGCTAAAGGCTTCAAAAAACTTGGATTTCTCAATGCGAGAAATTTGATGGCTGCAATAGACGGCTATTCCAGCGATATAAAGGCAGATGCTGTTCGTTGTCGTCAGCTTATCTGCTGCGGTGACGAGCTGTTCCGTACACCTCGGTCTTGAACTTTTATGACGGTAGCCTGAATACTATCTGTTAAAACTGATTTGTCCTGGGCTTTTCACGCAATGCCTCCTCACGCCTTATCACAGCTCAGTGTTTACTACCATCGATAGATTCATACAGGGTCGCGTTATTGCTCAAATGATAATACACTTTGAGCATTTGAATGCATAGTGAGCCAAATCGCAGTAGCGCCAAGTTACACTAAAGAATATCTTCTGACGAGAAATCGCTTACTATTGATCTTACAGGTAGGACCAGAATTATCTTAATCACTCGTTCCTGTGCCGATATCTCGCAAAGTGGATGCATGAGGTACTGCGTGAGGAAAGGATGCTCTGCTCATATATCGTGCACTGCCCGCGTTCGTGCATGCAAGTGGGTGTGCACACACGCGCATATATGCCCTCTTAAGATTGTGTAGTTGGGTACAGCACATGCTGATGAGCCGCGAGATGCGTAAATATATCACAGGCCTTGCCACTGGCCCTTTTGCCCTTTCGCTGTTATGCGCCCTTATCCGCCTGCTACGCGAAATTTAATAAGCGGCGAAACGAC